GTGTTGTTGATGGTCAGGTTTGATCCGGTCTGAACTGGATTCAGAGGTCTTTCAGTGTCTCTGTACCAGGTGTAGTTCACCGCTGGGTTTGCATCACTGCTGCAGATCAGAGTCACTGAACGGCCCTCCAGAACTAAACCAGCTGGATTTATCCTCACCGATGTGTTTTTAGGAGCATCTAATGGAGGAGAAAATCATTCAGGCGATTACTTTATGATTTACAGCACTAATTATAGATGATCATTCAGCACAGATTGATATAATTTCTGTCTTACACTGAACACGTAGCCTACGGGACTCTTGTGATGTGCTCGGCTGCTGTAGCTGGTGTGTTGCAGTGCAGTTGAAAGTGACTCTGTGATGACGGTGAGAAACAGTGAAGTTCAGATCAGAGATGAGCTCAGTTTGGCTCTGATACTGCTGTCCTGTGATGCTCTCGATGAGAGATGAGCTCCATGTGAGAGATGGTGGACGAGACGGACAGAAGATCTTAGTAGAGCAGCGCAGACTCACTGAACTTCCCTCAGTCGTCTCCTGCTGATCCGGAAAGATGCTCAGTGTGGGTTTGGGGGGAGATCCTGAAACACACAGAGATATTAGAGGTATTATAAGTTCTGTTATTGCTACACACTTAGACGAAAAGCTATGTCAAAATGCCCGTCTTGGAGACTATTCATGTAAATGCAGTCGGTTTTGTCTTAAGTGAACTTGAACAGTTGGGAGAAATACAGATGTCAAAATATTTGATTTATGCATCAGATCTTAAAGCAATAGCGTAAACCTGCAGCCGCCGACTGCGTCATAAATGTTAATCAAACAAAAGAAAAGGAGAAAATCACTCACTGCTCTTGACTGAATCATTTATTAACTTGAATAAGAATCATCTATATTTAATGTGTAGAGTGAATATTATTTTTACATTTATTACTTCATGAAATGTCTGTAGGAGGCTATTTCTAGAAGCCTTTACTAGGCTACTATCTGAAAAACTAAAAAACTATTTCATTTGTATTTTTGAGTAATATATTTATTTATCATTTAGCTTGTAAGTAATACTTGGAGTGTTTACTTGCCTTCAGTAAGCTTGAGAATATTTTATTACATTAGTTTATTATTTTTTGCTTTTGTATTAGTGGCCATTTCTAGCTTCAAAGAAAAATAATTTTTCTAACATATTTGCCAAAATTACCTTGGGTGTGCATTATTTTCTAATAATTCAACAGCCCGTCATTAATTATTCCTTACATAATGTAATTTATTGTAATTAATGTAACTATAAATGCATAAAAAAATAAAACCGGTGTGAGTTGTCACATTCGCTACTGTGAGGGAGCGTGGAGCAAGGAACGAGGAGTACATCAACAAGGAGACTTTAATTATATCCAGGGAACCAGGAAAACACACGTAGCAGGAGAGGTTGACATATACAATACCGGACGCCGAACTAAGAACAGGGAACACTTTATATACACATGACATGACGAGGGGATGACGAGACACACCTGGGATCAATAGAACTAAACGGGGAACGCCTGGAACAAATGATAAGGACAGAAACGGGAAGGACCAAATACGGGCATAGAAACACATGGGGAACAAAACTCACACAAAACACGAAACAGAGTCTGACATTACTCCCCGATGGGCGCCCTGGAGGCTGGTGCAGGACTGGGACCCGGGGAATACCTCCAGGGTGGATCAGGCAGTCCAGGGTGCCATGGTGGCACATGGAGCTCAGGGGCCATGACAGTGCAGGGAGCTCTGGGAGCCATGGCGGAGCAGGTAGAATAGGAAGCCATGGCGGAGCAGGCAGACTAGGAAGCCATGGCGGAGCAGGGAGCTCGGGGAGCCTGGCCTCGGCACTCGGCCCAGCCTCTACGGATGGACCCCTACTACCCCCCCCCCCAAAAAAAATCCTTGGGGAGAATGTCGGTTTCAGAGGTCCTCCGTAGGCTTAACTCGGGAACTGTGGCCCTCCCTGGGCTTGACTTGGGGACTAGAGCCCTCCTTGCGCTGGACATGGGGACTGGAGCCCTCCTTGGGCTGGACATGGGGACTGGAGCCCTTTCTGTGCTAGACTCAGGGACTGGAATCCTCTCTGGGCTAAAATCGGGGACTGGAGCCCTCTCTGGGCTAAACTGGGGAGCCTGGCCTCGGCACTCGGCCCAGCCTCTACGGATGGACCCCTACTACCCCCCCCCCCAAAAAAAATCCTTGGGGAGAATGTCGGTTTCAGAGGTCCTCCGTAGGCTTAACTCGGGAACTGTGGCCCTCCCTGGGCTTGACTTGGGGACTAGAGCCCTCCTTGCGCTGGACATGGGGACTGGAGCCCTCCTTGGGCTGGACATGGGGACTGGAGCCCTTTCTGTGCTAGACTCAGGGACTGGAATCCTCTCTGGGCTAAAATCGGGGACTGGAGCCCTCTCTGGGCTAAACTCGGGGACTGGAGCCCTCTCTGGGCTGGATTCGGGGGCTGGAGCCCACACTGGAGCGAGCTCTGGGGCTGGAGCCGACACTGGAGCGAGCTCTGGGGCTGGAGCAGACACTGGAGCGAGCTCTGGGGGGCGCTCTCTGGTGAGGAAGAGGGCCGTGAGCCATCCTTTTCTCCTCATCCACCTCTTTTGGTTACGGGTGAATAGGGTGGCCAGCGGGCTTGACGTTGCGGCGGCCGGCAGGCTTGCGTGAGCTGCGGCCGGCGGGCTTAACTTCGTAGCGCCCAGCAGACTTGACTGAGCGGCAACTTCCATGATCGCGGGGGAAAAAAACGGAAAACCAAAACACTTTCAAAAACAGAAAACAAACACAGGGAGAGGGGGTGCCGCTTACTGTCTTTGATCCGGTATTCGGTCATATTTGCTACTGTTAGGGAGTGCGGAGTGAGGAACAAGGAGACGAGGAGTACATCAACAAAGAGACTTTAATTATATCCAGGGAACCAGGAAAACACATGTAGCAGGAGAGGTTGACATGTACAATACCGGACGCCGAACAGGGAACATTTTATATACACATGACATGACGAGGGGATGACGAGACACACCTGAGATCAATAGAACTAAACGGGGAACACCTGGAACAAATAAGGACAGGAACGGGAAGGACCAAATACGGGCATAGAAACACATGGGGAACAAAACACACACAAAACACAGAACAGAGTCTGGCATGAGTTGCCTATGACTTATGGAAAGTATATGTAGGGCTTTATACACAGTGTGTGCCATTGTACAGACTAGGTTTATCCCTCACAGCCTCATGGCGTCCATTCATTTTTTTTTCTTTTTTACCCAGAAATTAAAATGCAGTTTCTTCTTTAATGGTTCAAACACTGATGAATAGAATAAGCAGACACAAAATAATTTTGATTATTCAAAATTCATATTTCATTAAAAATCGTAAAAATGATATAAAGCTTGTTTTTTATTGAGATAAAAGGTGCATTTTCTGCTCTTAAGGTCCCATTCACCAAGATACCTACTCCTTTACCCTCACTCTTGAATTTATACATTTACTGTAACGAATAAAGTCAAGTCCCGCCCTTTAATTTTTCACATTGTTTCACTCTGAAATATGTCACAACTCCACCCATTTTGGACTTGGACTTGTCTCAGACTAAATTGGTTAAAGACTCAGACTCGACTTAGGTGGACTCGAACCCAACACTACAAGATAATGTCGATGATCATATCCAGTAATGAAGGTGTACAGTAGAAGATTTTTTTTTTTTTAAATGTGAGTCGAGTCACACTGTAGAAGCAGCATGAACAATATGACACTCACCTAAGACGGTCATTTGAACTCGGGAGTGTGTAGGTTCTTTGTAGTTATATTGCAATTTACCATTGGCTTCAAGTCTGAAGTAATATGAGCCATCATGACTCTGATCAACATTATCGAAGCGTGTGGTGCAGTTTTTCTGTGTAGCGGTGCCAAATATTTCTCCTTTAAATGGTCCATTGTTGGGGCTGCTGGAGTCAAACACAGCTGTACTTTCGTCTTTAAACCACATTCTCTTTGCACTGTCAGTGAGGTCATCTTTATATTTCTGATCAATATCAAATGTGCAGGGGATGAAAACACAGGATCCTTTCAGAGCTTCTACTTTCTTCGGCAGATTGATATTAAAGCCACAAAAACCACCTAAAACAAAGACAAACAGACAAAAGGAAGAAATCATACAAAGTTAATATGCAGAACAAACTTGTGCGCCACTTATTGCTCTTCGATCTCATGAAAGTCACATGAAAGTGCTTTCATAATAATAATTCAGCTCGTTAAATAGAGGAATAATCTAGGAATGAGACCTTGTATCAGAGATCCAGTGAGGAGGAATGGCACTAATGTTTCCATAATTTTCATGCAGTCCACCTTACAGCAGAATAGACAAAAACAGATATTACAATTCTGTGTTTTTCTGTCAATATGGGGTGCTGTGTGTACATTAATGAGGAAAAAAAATTAACTTAAATGATTTTAGCAAATGGCTGCAATATAACAAAGAGTGAAATATTTAAGGGGGTCTGAATACTTTCCGTACCCACTGTATATATATATATTCCTGTATGAATTTATAGCTCTTATGCTGGTATAAACTAATTACTTCTCAATAATAAGAGCTATAAATTCATACAGGAATATATATATATATATATATATATATATATATATATATTCCTGTATGAATTTATAGCTCTTATGCTGGTATAAACTAATTACTTCTCAATTTCTAGATTAAAAAAAAGACATGCTTCTGAATCTAAACTACAGGAGAAAGAGTAAGCTTGACTGTGTTGTGTGTAAATGACTTACCAGAGAATAGAGTTAAAGATGACAGAAATCCTCTCAGAGCTCAAGCTGATGCTTCTACACTGAACGGAGGGAGAACTGTGTGTGAAAACTCTCATATTAGAGATTCACCACTTCTCCTTTAGTCAGAACTCAGTAACAGTAGCCAGGCTGAGAAATCTATGCTAATCAGTATGAAGCTTATTCAATGTTCAACACATATCTGTATATATTTTGGCAATTTGAAAACATGAATTGTGCTGTGAGATCTGGGGTTTATGCTGATTTAATATTCAATATTCAGTGTTGAATCACAAGACACTAAGATGTACAGGAGATGAGGAAACATTTACATTTGATTTCTTCTAAACTTTTTTGAGATATCATAGCCTATATCAAGATAATGTATTACGGGCCGGTAATACTTAGCATGCTTCATATTGTTTTACAGTCATAAACTTTATTTCAAATAAGGAACATGGAAACTTGAAGATTAACCCAAGATACTGACCGAGGCCGAAAGCAGAAGAGATTTGTTCAAAATACTTTAGAGTCAGCAGAACAAGCTGCTCACGTGGTGAACTTGTACTTTACTATATACTTACATCGTAACTGTATTACTGTAGAATTAAGTATAGATTTAATAGTGATGAGCTCTATAGTGATCTGAGAGTTTTCCAAACTTGTCAAAACACAAACGTATTATTAGTATTATTAATATTTCCGTTATTAATCATCATAAAACTTTAAATTGTTGCTATATGGTTGAACATAGTTAAGACATCAAAACCCGTGCAGCTCAGAGGATCTCATTTTGCCTCTTTTTGTTTGTTTATGGGATGGAATATGTGCTGTTATCCCTCATTCAAATTCTGTTTTGTAACAGAAACAGTGGTCATTTGCAATATCTACTGAAACTGTCTGCATATGTTGTCAATTTTTTTTGCAGTAAACACAATTACAAAAAGGCAATACAAAATCATAATTCATGTCCTAAAGAACAGAGCGCTATAAAGAAAAAAAACAATATACAATGTAAAACTTAACAGGGTCTTCTAATATTTTAAACGTCTTCAAAATAATCTTTTTCAACTCTGAAATTCTCAAGGATTTATAATATAACCAAAATTATTTTTGAAAAACAGAAAACAATGGCTTTTTATGGATATACAATTTCCCCAAAATAAAAATAATTTTCAGCAAAAATCGAATGTGTACATCTTCCCTTATTATACCGAAGGTTATATCCTCTTTAGAGGAAAGGCTCTGGTGAGCAATATTGAATCTATGTGTAAGAAGTTCAGAGGATGGGTAAATATTACAAGTTTAAAGTGTATTTCCTTGGCTTTAAGAAGTATACATGGCTCTTAAATTATTAATGTTGCTCTTGGGAAAAAGTTGAGTCACTTGGAAATGTGTCTTTTGCCAATAAAGTTCAAATTAATTAGTTTGGTGAATTACTCCTAATAAAGTATTGATCGTTTCTTTTTAAAGATGTAAAAGTAAATGAAGAGCTTCAGTTGCATTGGGCATTGTAGATTTAACCAACATAAAAGCCAAACATAAAATTCAGTTGCTTGTGAACACATTGAAAATGATACTTTTCACAGAAAGTCTTGTGATTCATAAAATTACCTTCCTCATCTACAACATGGACACCAGATACCTCTCTCCCACCATTCTCATATAAAGAGTGACTTTTTCTTAAATGAAATAGCAGTTGTTCCAAATGGGCGAGAGGGATCATTTGAGTAATAGTACAGTAATAATATTACTTTTTGCAGTAACTAGTAGAGTAATTTCCAATAAGATTTCAGTACTAATATTACAGTTACCATCCATAAAACATCTCATTACTTTTGATGCCTCAACCCCTATTGATTTGAAATCCAATAATTCCTAGATTTCTTTTCACGACTCGCACAGGCACATGAAGTCAGCAGTGCATCAGGAAAGCTCGGAATAAGGAAAAGCTTACATTCGTGGGATGGAAATATTGGCATTACATTGATTTTGTCAGGAGAAAAGCTGATCTGAACACAGATGTGTGAGACGTGGCGTTACTTTACTCTTGCCCACCCACATCTCTCTGATCCCCATATACATTATATTACTATAATTACAAATCTTATGAACTTATGTGATTTCTTTTGATTAAATACTTAAGAGATATAATCATATATGGGTAACAGAGAAATTATAGCTACAATTAGCTTCAAGCTACACATGACAATTAATTAAGTCACTATTAATCACCACTGAGTGTTTGTAATAACTTCTGACTGCGATACAATGCAGATTTTGCTCAAATGATGAGGCAGAAATATACTGTTAGTAACATTCTAGAAGAACTTTATGGGGAAGATACAAGGTTACAACTTCTGTGAGGCGTGAAGGAAAATTTATGTGACTAGTAGTGTAACTAATTACTGTTGCCAGAAAGTAATAAGTAAAGTAACAATATTACTTTTTAAAGGAGTAACTAGTAACGAGTAATAAATTACATTTCTGGAGTAACGACCCCAACACGGTTTAACATATTACTAGGGGAGCAAAATCAAAAACTATTATTATTTATTAGAAAAATATGTTAACTAATTCATCTTAAACGTTCCATTCATGCAGTCAAAGTCTATGGCCTGTAAATCCCCATCTTTATAACCTTTTACTAGTAGCCCTTTGTCATGTTGTCAATGATCTGAAGGTCTCAGGCTGAAAGTGAAGCCGCTTCTGCCGCCTAGTGGAGCAGACAGAAAACTGCACTTCCGTTTCTACCATTACCATAAGTAACACTCACCACCAGAGGACACCAAGGTGTTAGTCTATGTGCTTATAATATATAGGTTCCATTAGTTAATGAACAAACCATTTATTACAGTATTTATTAATCTATTTGTCAATGTTAGTTCATGAAAATGCAGTTGTTCACTATCAGTTCTCTGGCCATAACACCTAACTTTTTGATGCTACATAAAGATTGAGGGACCACAGAGACTGATTAATTTCAGTGAGCCATGTGTATTAAAGACATACTGTGAGCCACACATTCATATCAACAAGTCCAAACATTAGCATATAGAGTCTTCCAGAGTTGAGGAAACATCAATTAAGTCCACCAAGTCCATCAGTTCACAGATATGACCATAAGTAGCATTTTGTCAAAGTGAAATCAGTCTTTAAAGGGGAAAATATGAGACCAGCAGTCTTTAAATGAAGCAAGGAAGAATCTGAATCAGCAAACAATTCATCCGTTTGTTGATCACAGAATAAGATGAGTGGATGGTTGGATGAAGACAATTAGCCCCTTTTTGTCTGGGTCCTGTTTATATCCGTGCGGTTTCCTCTCTCATACAAGAACCCCCTCTGCATTTAATCAGCTTTGGGCTAGTTACTCAAAGAATGTAATATATTACTCATTACTAGTTACTCCTTTCAAAAGTAATATTGTTACTTTTTAACTTTCTGGCAACAGTAGTTAGTTACACTGGTTGCATTACTTTTCCTTCACGCCTCACAGAAGTTGTAACTGTGTATCTTCCACATAAATTCTTTTAGAATGTTACTAACAACATATTTCTGCCTCATCATTTGACCAAAATCCACATTGGATCGCAGTCAGAATTATCACAAACACTCAATAGTGACTGATAGTGACATTCAAGTAGAAGTGTTGCATTCATCTCATCGTCATGTGTAGCTTGAAGCTAATTGTAATTTCTCCGTTACCCATATACGATTATATTTCATTATGTGTTTTATCAAATCACATAAGTTTGTAAGAAACTGTTTACATTTTCCAAATAGATTATTAATTATAGGCTAATATAATGTACCAGATGCTGATCAGAGGGGTGTGGGTGGGATGTAAAGTAAAGCCACAACTTACACAACAGTGTTCAGATCATCTTTTTTCCTGACAAAATCAATATAATGCAATATTTCTATCTGCTGAATGTAAGCTTTTCCATATTCCAAGCTTGCCTGCTGCCCTGGGGACATTACATACAAAACTAAAGAGAATTAGTATTTTGTCCCCATATAAAAAATACACATTTGGAGCATCAAGGCTCCATTCACTTGATGATTTGTCAACAATGGATCGTATTTTATTCGTTTAAATAAAATATACATGGGCGTTAGGCTATCTGCTTTGAACAACACCTGATTTAAATTGAAATGGGTTTCTGTAAGAGTGGTTTTATGCATCCCTTTCTGCTCTAATTGTGATATTTGCATATTTTGTGCTTGTAGACTCATACTGATGCTTTTGCGTGCAGCATCACCGTTAGTTTCACTAAATAAAATCACCTGCTAATAAAAATATCGCATTTATTAAAAATTAAACACACTAATTTAGAACATCTGATAGGGATAACAAATATTATTATTATTATAGTTCCATCACATACAAGTACAAGGCAAATATAAGACAATGTTGTACAGCATGTAAAACAGAGTAACAACGACAAAAAACATCAAATGAACAGAAACATCTAAAAATACTAGGATAGAAAAAGTGTTATATTATCAGGGCAGTTACATACGTTTTTGAAAGGCTTTAGAATTGTTATTGTTTTTATAAGCTTCTTATTTTGTGATCTCATATTAGAAAGGGTTTTAAATATATATTTAAGATCAGTTTTACAAAAGGTAATATATGATGGTTTCTTTTTAAAATTATTTTTGACTTGTGAATATTAAACTTTGCTCAAAATAATTAACAGATTAATAGTGTAATTTAGTTTTTCATAAAAATATGATGGGTTTTGAAAACAAAGTAAAATAGCATGAGGTTCTAAATGAAGGGCGTTGTTTAATTTTTTATGTCATGTCTGTTTTCAGCCATAAATGAAATAGAAAAAGGGCAATAGAAACTAAATGTCCAGTATCTTTAACTGATATGTTACAAAAGGTACATTTCTCACAAACGCTATGAATATATCTGCTAACAGCTGCATTTGCAGGATAACATCTGTGAATCATTTAGTAAAGTACTTCTTTTACTTTATTAGAAATAACATATTTACATTCAAATGCAACGCCAAGATATAC